TGTCACTTAACCTCCTTCTCCCCCCATCCTGAGGGCTTCCTGCACTTGCCTGAATATAACTGTCGCCACGGCCTGTGGTCCTCTGCCCGAAGAAAGAAGAAAACTGAGGGAAGGTGTAGGAATGCGTGGGGGGGACTCCACAACGGGAGGGTGGCAGGGCCGGCTGTGGGGGGTCACACGGAGGGCTGGCAGGCGGCGGGGGGGCGTCCAACGGGAAGGTGCAAGGGCAGTGGGCGGCTCCACTTTGGGTGCTGGGCAGGGTGGCTGGGGGGCTCGCAAAACGGGAGGCCAGGGCAGTGCGGGGGTCACACGGGAGGTGGCAGGATGGTGGGGCTCACTTCGGGCGAGGGGTGGCAGGGCAGTGGGGCTCACTTCGGGAGGTGGCAGGAGGGTGGGGGGCCACTTTGGGTGCGGATGGAGGGAGTGGGGGCTCACTGGCTGGGTGGGTGGCAGGGAGGTGGGGGGCTGACAATGTGGTGGGTGGCAGGGAAAGTGGGAGCTCACTTCGGCGAGGGTGGCCTAGGGAGGCTGGGGGGCTCCACTTCCGGAGGCGTGGGGGCAACGGAGGTGGGGCTCCTTCGGGAGGGTGCAGGGCGGTGGGGTGCTCACTTCGGGCAGGTGGTATGGAATGGTGGGGGGCCCACTTCGGGAGGCGCGTGGGCAGGCGATGGTGGGCTCCACAGCGGTGAGGCTTAGGGATGGTGGGACACCAACCCAAGTCCCTAGGCGAACTGCCTGTCCACCTACCTGGTCATCCGCATAAGACAGGTGCTGTCTCTGTGTGGTTCCTGTGCTGCACCGGGTGTCCAGGCCAGGCCCAGTGAGGCTGGCAGAGGCAAGTGGGACTTCTCCGGCGAGCCCCCTGCGTCTGAGTTCCAGAGCAGGTTTGGGGGTAGTCCCCCTGGGCTGCGGTGTTCTGGCATTTCGCCTTCGTTGGTCATTTTTGTGAGCTGAAGGCTGGGGCCCTGGGCGAGGGGCTCGGCCGCGGGGACAGGGCAGGTTGGGGGGACAGCGTGCCGAGCCTGAGAAGAAGTTAGTTGGCGCGGTGGCAGCGCAGCGAGGGCGTTGTTCCACGCCCACAGACAGTCCCGGTGGGCACGCCCGTCCTCCCCCCGGGGCTCGGGTCGCCAGCCCACGAGCGCTCCCTGGCGTGAACCCCGCCGCACACATCTGTGCGGCGGGCGGGGGGAGGCCTGAGGGGCCACCCGGTTTGGGGCCTGCCGCTATCCCTGAGCCGGGGGCTGCTCTGGGCACCCGGGGGAGGGTCCTCTGGGGACCTGTGACAGGGCCGAGCTGAAGGGGTCTGGGGTCCTCGGCGTGCCGGCCCAGTGTGGCAGCCACGCTCACTGGCGTGGGGAGACCGGGATCCGGGGAACAGAGCCAGCCTCGGGGTCCGGTGTGTGCTCTCGGGGCCGGCTCTGCCTCCGGCCACAGTGGCTGGGCTGGGCCCTGCCATTGGTCCGTCCAGCCCCTCACCCGCCCTGTCCCGCAGGGAGGTGCGCCAAGGTCCTGAAGCAGGTGAGCCCGCACCCTCGGCCCCTAGCTGGCTCCCCAACCCGGCCTGGGGTGGGAGGGCCCGTTCGGCCCTGGCTCTGAACAGGACGTCCCCCAGCACGGATTGGGGCCCCTAGATGGAGCTGGAGCCTCCAGGGCGCTGGTCCCAGGCGGAGATGCCGGGTGCTGGGAGGTGGAAGGTGCAGAGGGCGGGGGAAGGGGTGGCCCCGTGGCCCCGACTTTCTGTCCAGCAGAGCCACACTGGGTTGCGGCCGGCTCCGCCCCTGCGGGGTCTGCCCGAGGTCGGGCGGGGCCCTGGGAGGCCGTCTCGGTGCCCCGCGTCTGTCGCTGTGCTGGCCCGTCACCTCCACCGGCCCCCGGAGGTGGGGTCTGTCACCCCACCGTGCAGACGGAGGAGCGACTCCCACTGCCCACAGGCCCCAGGGCTGAGCCTGCCCTCTCGCCACAGGAGCAGATTTAGTGGAGCTTCTGCTGCTGGACGGTTGCCAAGACCCGCCCCTCCCCCTCCCCCTCCCTGCCACCTCCACCTGCCCCCTCCATCCCCACCTGAGGGGCTTCTGCACTTGCTCTGAATAAACTGTGCCACCAAAGCCACGGCCCTGTGTGTCCTTCCGGGGGATGGGCTGAGGGAAGGTGGCAGGGCAGTGGGGGGCTCACAATGGGTGGGTGGCAGGGAGGTGGGGGGTTCACTTGGGTGGGTGGCAGGGAGGTGAGGGGCTCACTTTGGGTGGGTGGCAGGGTGGTGGGGGGCTCACAACGGGTGGGTGGCAGGGAGGTGGGGGGTTCACTTTGGGTGGGTGGCAGGGAGGTGGGGGGCTCACCTTGGGGGGGTGGCAGGGAGGTGGGGGGCTCAGTTTGGGTGGGTGGCAAGGCGGTGGGGGGCTCACTTTGGGTGGGTGGCAGGGAGGTGGGGGGCTCAGAATGGGTGGGTGGCAGGGC